AGGCCTACAAAAAAATTATAGGTATTTTCCGCTATCCTATAAAATTTATATTTTCTGACTCAATTTCAAAAGGTTGAAGGAATTCCAAAACACCTTTTATGGCATAATAATTATTTTCAATTCTACATACTAACTTTAGCTGCTTTTAAAAACGTTCTAAGAAAGTCCAATCAGACCAATTTAATCCCTAAACTATTCCACACTTTTAAAATTTAATTACCTAAAAATATTAAAAACTATTTAAAATAACTTGTTTAGCAGACTGTACAATAGCTATCTTAGTCACACGTAGCGCGTTCTCTGTCTGGGCGTCGAACACCTCTAGAAATTTGATGAACTGTAATTTCATAAAAAATGTAAGTACATTAAAATATACAATTTTATAAAATAAAATCGACCAGACAGACCAATTTTTTGTCAAAAATTTGCAGTTTCACCCATTTTCACCAACCCTATAAGGGTCTCTTCAAAAGAATATCTTAAAAAAAACAATGTCAGATAAAATTAATTTAGAAATAATCACAAGAGGGCAACATTTAAATCCGTTATGACATCAGGAACGACAGTATAAGCTGACTGCATCTAATTTTGGAATGATTTGTAGATTGCGAGAAACGACGGATCGTCTTACAGTAGCAAAGAGAATGTACAGAACAATATTTACTGGTAATAGAGCTACGCGATATGAGGTTTGTTTTGGTTCACATTCTAGAATTGTTCCAGAACCATGCGCAGAACTATTGCGCAATGGTCCTTAATTCTGAACAGTTCTGTAACCATTCCATTGTATTCGAAACCAAAACACTGCCAGAACAGTTAAATGTCAAAAAATAAATTATAAATAAGAAAGAAGAAATAACACAGGGTCAGTGTCTAGGCAAGAAAGAGGCCACATAATATTGTAAAACGTAGATAAATTAAATAATTTATTCGTAACAATCCTTTGACCATGGAGGAAGGATGACCCAACATCAACTACTCCATTCTCATTAGTCATTCGAGAATTCCTTGTAAAAAATCCAACACAAAACATGGCCAGGATCTCAAAAACAAAATTACTTGCAAAAAAGCGCAAGCGCAAACATATCAATTCTGAAACAGTTCTCGCTTTAGGCCAGAACCGACGTTACTGTTCGAGAATGGTTATGATGAGGATGGGTTGTTGTATTTAAAAAACACTCATCCATATTACTACTAAATACAAGGGCAGCTACATTTTTCAGGCAAGGAATATTGTTATTTTATTGTCTGGTCTCCTTTAGGCCCTATCCATGTTGAAGAAATTTGCAGAGATGATGAGTTTTGGAAGAACAAAATGTATCCTAAAATATTTTTTTTATTACGATGCTTATTTAAAAGAAATTAAAGATGTCATATAACTTCTATGTGGTTTTAGAAATTCCTATTTCATATATTATACCGTATTTAATTAAATGTATATAATATACATAAGTTATGGTAGCAATATATTGAATAAAAATCTTAAACAGATAGATAAAAATGATGTGCTATAAAAGAGAATATTGTCTAATATATTTAAAATAAATACCTAAAGATATTTTTTTTAACGAATTTAAACAATCTGAATTTGGATACTCGATGAATTAAAAAAGTTGAAGAAACACTCCTAGTAAAATATTTTTTAATAAAACGATATAAACGATGTAATGTGTATGGAACACATTACATGGTACTTGCAAAGTACTTGGCAAGTAACGCGTAGTGAGTAGCCGGCTTCAGACTGGAGTTGACGATTCGAGCAGATTGTTGACGCGAAGTCAACATTATTCTCACGTAAATTTTTTTGTTCATCCTATTTCGAACATTGTGAGTCGTTCAGACACTGCAGCTCGAGCGAGCCTACTCGTATTACTTACTCTTAAGTACTTTTAACAAAGACGTTAAGATTAAACTTGGAAAACTAAAGAAGCTCTCTTGTCTTTAACAAAGACTTTTTACATGTACATGAACTAGCAAGAATAACAATGGTTTTTACATCAGACGTATATTGGATCTGAACGAATAATAATTAACCCAACAAAAAAGTATGCTATTGCGTTCAACTGAACGAATATATTTTATATCCATTCTAAGTAGTGGGAACACTGCAAAAAAATTAAATCCACCAATCACAGTTCATCACTTTTCTTTTTTTTTTGTTTAGTTATAAAAATTAAATATACATTTAAATGAGTTATTCTTGTGTAGAATCGATAAATAATAGCATTTCTGATTTTATTTCGTCTACATTTACGAATAAATCATAAATTTTATTAAAATTATTTGAAATATATTTAATTACAAGTATTAAAACTAAAATGTTAAGTATCTTGATTGAGCTGAGATGCATTTGGCTGTCATGTGAGAGGCCAAATCTATACTCTATTTTTATGTATGAGAGAGTAATAAAACAGCATTTCTAATGCAAAACTTACTACTGTCATTTTAAATATTTTTACAGAATAATCTACATATTTCCTAAAATTGTAATAAATGTACCTGAGCTATTACAAGTTTTGGGTCTTTTATTGGTCCTTTATAAACATAAGCTGTACAGAACAATAGAAAAAGGTTTGGACAGGCCAAAAGCCCTGTGTATTAAAGATTACATAGCCGTATCTTAAGATTATTTTCAATAAGTACCTATTTGCCAATTTTGTTTTATTTTAATTCCAAGAATTTCTTACAGTAATCGAATTATAAGTAGATAAATACCTTCCCAAAAAATTTTACTGAAAATGCGATTATAGGTTTTCCATTTAGTAAGGAGGTCCAAGTTGTGTATTCTTGACAGTTTACTAAATGTCGTTTAGTTGCAACTTGCAAGTTACAGTGTGAATTCTAGTGTAATCATGGAAAATTTGGAAGGGCCGCGTAAACGACAAAAAATCGGTCCTTTAACAGTTAATGAAAAAACATTAATATCTAATTGTTTTAAATCATTCACAGACAAACATTTATGTAAAAGTGTTGATGACACAGTGGAATTAGTTAGTAGTACGCTTGGTGTTATGAAATCTACGATTTACAGAGTTGTTAAAGAAGAGAAATGTGGCGAGTTTCAAACAGCACGTAAAGCTCCAGGAAAACCAAAATTTCAATTAGAAAATCTTTTGAAAGAAAGACTTTGAAGGAAAGTGCATGCGTTCTTCTTTAGAAAAGAATTTCCGACAGTAGACAAAGTTCTTGCCACGGTTCGAGATGATAAGGATTACCCTGAAATGAGTCGAAGCACACTATGGAAACTTTTAAAAGAAATAGGTTTTCTATAGAAAAAGCATTCCAGAAAGTCTATTTTAATAGAAAGAAGCGATATTGTAGTATGGAAAAGAAATTACCTAAGGACTATAAAAGAAATGAGAAACCAAAGTAGAAATATATTTTATTTAGATGAAACATGGATCAACGAGGGACATAAACCAAATAAATTTTGGCAAGATGAAACTGTTACAAGTCGAAAACCGGTTTTTTTAAATAATTTATCTACTGGTTTAAATCCACCATCAGGAAAGGGGCGCAGACTAATAATAGTACACATTGGTAGTTCAAACGGTTTTGTTAAAGGTGGTTTATTGACTTTTGAATCTACTCGTACCGGTGACTACCATGAGGACATGAAGGCTGATGTCTTTAAAGAGTGGTTCGAACAAACTATAGATCTTCTTCCTCAGAACTGTATAGTAGTAATGGATAATGCAAGTTATCACTCGAGACTTATAGAAAAAATGCCCACAACCAAGTGGTTAAAAAAAGATTTACAGAATTGGCTAAATTCAAAGAATATTAAGTTCCATCCCGGTTCTGTGAGAAAAAAACTGTATCATTTGTGTTCCCTTCATAAAGAGAAATTCAAAAAATATGAAATTGATGAAGTTGCAAAAAAATCGTGGGATGACGGTGGTTAGATCACCATCATATCATTGCGAAGTAAACCCGATTGAACTGATATGGGCACAGATAAAGGGAGAAGTTTCAATAAAAAATAATTCTTTTAAAAAGAGTGATGTTAAACAGTTGTTTTTGGATGCTGTAAATAATGTGAGGCCTGAAAACTGGGAAAAGGCAGTAAATCATACGATTAAAGAAGAAGAGAAAATGTGGAAGTTGGACAATATTACTGATGAAATGATCGAGCCACTCATTGTAAATATTGGTTGCGACAGTTCATCTTCTGATTTCGATTCTGATTTGGATTTGTAGGTAAGAAGTAGTTTTTATATTAAAATTATTATTTATGAACGTAACGTTGTTTAAAAGTCAAAGTTTAAACCCTTATACCTACATAACCCGTTTGACACAATGTTCTTAACATACCTTGTGGAAAAATAAAACATTTTAGAAAAAATTGCACTTTTTTACCTTCAGCTGTTTAGAAGTTATAAGCAGGTTAATTAGGTGAAAATATAAGTGTATACTCGAGGAATAACTTCAAAAAATATTTTAACTGTCTACTAAAAGAAGTGGTACGCCTATGGATTACAAACGCTTAATTATTTTAATACTCTCTCATACATAATAATAGACTATAGTATGGAGATTAATTAAAGTAAATCTATTTTTCTTTTTTCATGTTTATTTTATAAATTAGTAAAATTCATGAATAATTTTAAAATTAGTTATTTTGCATAATGGACTAAAATAATTCCTTAAATTTGTTGATTTTCGTTAGTGGGTCGTTGCACAAATTACTATAATTCCGTTAAAAATATGAGTATATTTCATGCATTTATTTTATCAGGTAATAAGCTTTTAAACTTTTATAACTTAAAACATAAGCACTAAAAATTATTCTGTCACTCAGCTAGTCACTAATAATTAAAAATAATGCTATAAACGGACTATTTTATTAGTAAATAATATTTAAAAAAAAGACTTAATACCCATATAGCCATAAAATAAAAATTATAATATTAAAATATCCGAGCTTCAAGGGTTTATTCTTTAGGGGTAAATTATAGTAAGAATATTATTATTAATATTATTAAGAGTTACCTACTTACCCGAAAAACAATTTTTTTAACACATTAGCCCTCTTTTTAGGGTTTTCATGCTTTAATTTAAATCCTACATCCATATTTATTATCACAAGAGAATCCACCGATATTTATTATACTAATTTCATTACCGCGTATAATCGAATCTTCAAACTACCGAAAACTGAGTAAACAAAAACCAAGTATAGTAATAATAATAATTATTTTAATTATATGATAATTAAGCGAGCTCCTACTTCGTTTTGATAAACATTTCATTCGTTGCCTACTTTTTTTAACGCTACCAATATAGATAAAGAGAGAACATTTTAAATACTCATTAAACAATGAATTTGTTTTAGTAATATTTCATTTTTAGATGCATTTTTACCAAAAATCATAGCAACAGTACCAGATCAGCCCAATTGGTTCTAGTATGGAATGTTCCTGTCAATAAGTGAGATATTCTATGTACAGGGTGTAACAAACAGACAGTTAAATTCCAAATAGTATCTATCTTGACTCAAAGTGATTCTAAATAGATTCAGTAATAAAGGAAAAACTTTAAGTTTGTCAATTACTATTTAATTGTTAAATGTTTTCCAACCATAGGATTATCATCAGGCTTGTTATTTTTTTGCTAATATACAACCTATTCTATCTTATACAAATATAATAATAATAATAATAATAATAGAGTTTATTCATACATATAAAAAATTATACAACAAAATAAAAATGGAAGCTGATCAATAAACTACAAAATCCTGCAAAGTCGCAACTTGTTGCAGGTAAAAAATATAATAAAAACTATGTAATAATAATAATAATAATAATAATAATAATAATAATAATAATAATAATAATAATAATAATAATAATAATAATAATAATAATAATAATAATAATAATAATAATAATAATAATATAAAACAATGTCTCTTTACAGTGAAACATTAATTTAATAGATACAGAAAGACTAGACAGTAGAAAATATTTAAATTGGAACACAATAAAATATAATTATAAAATAAAATAAAATAAAATCCCTAAATTTCAATGAAGTTTGCAATAAACATTCTGCCTAGTTGAAGTACATATGCAATTAATTTTTTTGAAAGTCAATAGATTTGAAGAGTTTGTTATGTTTTGAGGAAGTAGTTACAAAGTAGATACAAAAGTAGATACAAAAGTAGATACAAAAGTAGATACAAAAGTAGATACAAAAGTAGATACAAATTAAAAAGAAAAACATATCAATGACAGGACAAGACATGGACACGATGTGGACAGTAGACTAAGAAAAATCTTGACAGCCTTTGCCACGGAGTGTTAGGTAAGTGTGATCTTCACCTCTCACAAATAATGTTACTTTAGTGTTATATCCTTCTTTTACAGCTATAGAGTATAACAGAAAATTAAATACATAATTTTGTTGTCAAAAGCCATTTTGTTGCGATTTTTTTGAAATTACAATAATATATTTTTTGTTTCAGGTCAAGAGACAATGCATTGTAGACTTTTAGTCCAATATAAGTATAGTTTCGTTGAACTAGAGTGATTCTACATTTGGGTAGTGTCATATTGTGATTTATACGAAATCTTGTGTTATACTGACGAGTTCCTAGGTTTATTTCTCTTGTTTTGATTACGTGTAGCAATGATTGTTTATAAAATAAGTTTCTGATAGACAAAATGTTACAATGTTGAAAAAGATTCTCAGTGGGGTATCGAAAATCTAATTTAAAGATTAATTTTAATATTCGTTTCTGAATTATTTCTAATGGTCTCAAGGTTGTTGCATAAGCTCCTCCCCAACCTATAATACCATAAGTTAATACAGATTGCACTAAAGCATAATAGGTTGAAATGAGTTCGGATTCGCGCATTATCTTCGATATCGTTTTAAATATATATAATAATGATCTAAGTTTTTTAACCATGTTGTTAATTTGAAAATTCCACTTCAAGCAGCCGTCGATTGTTATTCCTAAATATTTGGCACTAGATGACTTTGTTAAAGACCACGATGTATTTCGGAAGGGTAAGTCAATTACTATAGGGTTTAAGCTACTAAGATCATTCTTAAAGTTTGAAAATGGTAGATAAATGGTTTTTTCTAAGTTGATAGTTAACAGATTTTCATCAAACCAATGTATTAATAAGGAAATGTGATGACTAAACGTAAGCCCATTGAAGGCATTTTATAAAAAATATCTAGTCAAATCTTCTGGCCATAAACTGCAACGTTCTTTCTTTCTAACACTGAGTCTTAGTTAAGGTCGTTTATAACTTAATTTTGTTGAACTTAATTTCACCAGTTATATTCGATAACCGGTGATTTTATAAAGTAACTACTCGAGTAAATTGTACTTCAGTATTCAAAGTATTCAGTAATTGATACTCTTCTGATGGGACTCAGTACTCGAAAATGTTTACGTACTTTATTTTTTAGACTACTCAGTAAGTTTGATTCCTACAGCTAACGAGTAACAAGCCTCAGCTTGTCTTGTTAGTTGTGTGTTGCATTACTACACTTCTTACTATTATTATTTTACATTTTATGTTTTGCTAGACAATTTGTACAGGGCATACGTGTTTTGACACAAATGGGATATAATACTGTCAAAATTTGCAGATATTATAAAAGATAATCTAGGACAGTGGTCGCCAACCTGTCGATCGCGAGCTACCGGTAGCTCGCGAAGGCAATTCTGGTAGCTCTCACAACGATTTTAATTTAAAAAATAAAAACTGCAAAAATCAGAGAAGCTTCCGAAAATTCCACAAAAAAATCTAATTGTCATAATATTAAACATAAACAGCGGCAACGTTGCGGTGAGCGATCTGCCGCTGACGCCATCAAGCTAGAATCGGCTAGAACCGACCAGCCGGACCAGCGCGTTAGTGTTCGAGAACGATCAGGATTGCTTTGAACGGGATAAATACGCACGGCGAGGCGACATTGCGCTTAGTTTAAAACTGAACGCGTAACCAACGTCCAGCGGTTGGGTTAGTAGAGAACAACAAAAAATAATATTATGGCAAGCAGTTGTAAGAAGGTAAAGACATACCACTTTCATTCGGAATGGGAAGAACAATACTTTTTTACAGAAGTTAAAGATAAAAATGTGTGTTTGTTATGTAATACTTCGGTCTCCGTTGCTAAAATAGGAAATATTGAGAGACATCATAAAACTGTACATTCTAATTTTGAAAAATCATTCCCACTACATTCTGCCGCCAGAAAGGATAAACTGAAACAGTTAAAAAAGCAGTTAATTGGACAACAATCAATATTTTTAAGAACAGTCGGCAAAACTAAGGCTGCAACTGAAGCATCGTACCGTGTGTCCCAGATAATTGCACAAAAAAGAAACCTTATGAAGACGGGGAAATGATAAAACAGGCGTTTTTAGAAGCTGCTGATTCGTTATTTGTCAACTTTAGAAATAAGGACGAGATAGTTTCAGCTATAAAATCTATGCAACTTTCTGCTAATACAGTGATGAGACGTGTAGAAGTAATGAGCAATAATATTTTTTTACAGTTAAGAACTGACTTAGATAACTGTTTATTTTTCACTTCAACTGGATGAATCAACAGATGTCGTTGACACTGCCCAGATGGCCCTGTTCGTCAGGATGGTTTTTAGTGATTTTACGATTAAAGAAGATCTTTTGAAGTTCATTCCACTGAAAGGACACACCACTGGACAGGAGTTGTTTTCTCACTTAAAAAATATTTCTTCCGAGAAAATTCCAATATCGAAAATGGTAGGCTTGACAACCGATGGCGCTCCAGCTATGGTGGGTTGTGATAAGGGTCTGGTGGCGTTATGTTGTAAAGATGAAACTTTTCCGCAATTTCTCTGTTACCACTGCATTATCCATCAGCAAGCATTATGTGGAAATTTCCAGAAACTAAACAACGTTATGAAACTGGTGGTAAAAATTGTGAACAAGATTAGAGCTCAAGCGTTACAAAGAAGATTATTCAAAACCTTGGTCGATGAAGTTGACTGTCAATACGGAGACCTACTCCTTTACTCTGAAGTCCGATGGTTAAGTAGAGGACTGGTGCTGAAACGTTTTAATGATGTCCTATCTGGCATAGTTCAATTTTTCAAACAACGCGATGAACCGACTCCGGAACTAGAAAATTCAATCTGACTTAGAGATTTTGGTTTTCTCGTGGACATTACAGAGAAATTAAACGAACTTAATTTGCAGCTTCAGGAGAGAGACAAAGAACTAGCGGAAATAATTTCTGATATAAAAGCATTTATCAAAAAGCTGGAGTTTTGTGAACAAAACCTAATTAACAGCGATGCCAAGCATTTTCCTATTCTTTCAGAACAAATATCTCAAAATCCATTAGAACCCTATGACAGCAAATATCATGTAGAAATAGTTTCTACCCTGAAGAATAACTTCAAAAATTGTTTTAAGGATTTCAACGAAATGGCTTTAGTAGCGCAGTTTGTTGTTTCGCCCTTTATGGAAATTAATATCCAACAGTTTGCAACTTGTGTTATGCAGAACTTTGGCGAAGACATCGCTGCAACAGAAATGGAAGTAATTGAGTTTCAAAATGATTTAGCCTTAAAATCGTTATGCTCAAGTACCAAATGTATCTGGCCTATTGTAAGTACAGTTCATCAAATTTCTAGAGGCTTTCGACGGCTAGACAGAGAAAGCAATACTGACAGGCATCCCGACGGATTTACGCAATGAAAGTACACTCTGCGCATCAAGTATTTCACTATTTCATTCAGACGTAAATGTCAGATGTAAATTTCGCTAAAACATTTATTTTATTTTCGTTTGTGTTTTTTGCTCATTACAGTTTAATAGAACCTAAGTATGGAGTTTAATAGCAAATTAAGAGGCCGCGTGATTAACAGTCAATCTCGCGAAATAATAGCCAATGTTATAGAGTTTATGAAAAGAGAAGGAAACTTTAATTCACCTTCAATACCATTTAAAAATATAAATGATCGTGTTGCTGCAGCCACAGGAGTATCTAAAAACACTGTCGTCCGCATTTCTGGAGAGAAAAAAAGAATCGATAACCGTGAGATATCGGATTTTTCATCACCAAGAAAAACCATTAAAAAACCAAAAACAGTTAATGATATAGATGAAGCTGCACAAGAATCAAATTTTATTTTTTTATTATTAGATAGCTATTTTTGTTTCTGAGTTGTGTTCATTTACAGGCTCAATTTTTTTCCGTTTCTCCTTTTTGATTTTATATGGGGTTTCAAGTTGTTTTTGACTTATTTCGACGTAAATC